AACCATGCGTCGGGACATTTTTGGGGCTCGAGGTGGTGACGCTCACTCGGTAGGGGGATGGAGAGTGGTTAAAGTTTAACTTCACTCTATAACGTATATAATGCCGATAGATAGAAGTACTCCATTAATTTTGCCAATTTTTCCATACATTGCTATCTAGAGTGCTTGAACTACACGACCGTTATTATTGTAATTTTTGAGTTACAATAGAAGTAAATAGCAACAATGTAATTAAAAATACCATATGAAATATAACGCCATCTTATTGTAAATTTGACGTGGCAGATCTCTTTTTTTTGTTTCATAAATCATTTTGATAAAAAAATATGCGCTAACTGTACTTCTTACAGCTTATCTTCAGATCGAGCCGTGGCATGCAAAGGCTAAGCGCACGTACTACTCGTAGTACACAGTACGCGAACAACCCACGTTAGATCCCGAAAGCGCACAGTTAAATTGCTAATTGCACTTTTTAGTGCTGTTTCACCACGTGCTGGGTGGTGAAGACATTGGAAGGAAACCTGCATTTTTTTAACTGTAGCAAAATGGTTGTGGAGAACTCTGAAACGGAAGGAGTTGCTGGGAAGCTGTCGCAGTCGTTTCATATTTACTGTTAAAATCAAAACTTGCCTAAAATCATAAAAAAATATGTCTATTAAACTCCTGCACGAAATTTTCATAGTTAGAAGTTACGTTTTTAAATAAAAGATGTTAAGAAGTTCGAACACCAAATAACAATAATTCTATTTTACCGCAAATTTTCCAAAATAAAACAATATTCACAGTATGGAGTTGCACAATAACATTCTCATTCAGATAATTTTTACTCGGTGATTCACTGTTGTGTTCCGATTCGATGGGAAGTGTGCAGAACCAATATAATTACTGGCTATTATTTTCTAAGTTTTCTGTGCTAACTATGTACCAGTTGCCTTGATGTTAGACTTCATGGAATACAGCCCCTACTTCTTTCTTTTCTTCTACCATCTTTTCTATTATTTATCACTCTTTCATTGATATTTTTCTTATTTAGGAAAATAATGATAAGCGCATCCACACAATTCAATAACCGACATAAGAAAATGCGAACTGACATAGCATTGACAATAAATATATTATTCATGCGTTTCTATAAATTCTGTTAAACACAAACTAGATTAAACAGGTACATTGTTTATGCATCAACTAACCATGACTTACATAATTGACTTATATTTACTGAATAGTAATTATAACATTTTAATATTCACTACTGGATTAAAAAGAATACGGTATGATGCAAAAATCAAAATAGTATCCTTACAACGGACTGACGAATTAAAGGCGATTGTGGAAGCTGATGATACTCAATAAACGGCTGAATTAGCAGCAGCTTTCGACGTTAGCATCAAAACAATATTGGTCTATTTGCGTCAAATTCGCAAGGTAAAAAAGCTCGACAAATGGGTGCCCCACGAGCTCAATTACCGCCAACGTGAAGTACGCGTCGAGACGTGACTTGCACTGCTCAACAGGCACACAAACGAAGAATTTTGAACTGCATTGTTACCTGCGAAGAAAAATGGATTCTGTTTGACAATCGCAAGCACTCAGCAAGTTGGTTGGATCCTAGTTCAGTACCTAAACAATGCCCTAAACTGAAACTTACCCCTAGAAAAGTGATGGTTACTGTTTGATGGTCTAGTGCCGGTGTGATTAATCATAGCTTCTTAGCAAACGAGATGGGCGTTACTGAAGATGTGTACTGTGAAGAACTGTACACAATTATGGAGAAGCTTGCACGTCTCCAACCAGCTTTGGTCAATCGATCGTCCCCGCTGCTCCTGCACGACAACGTGCCAGCTCATACTGCACAACAGACGGTCTCCAAGTTACAAGAGCTGGAGTTGGAAGTTCTCCGTTATCCGCCGTACTCACCAGACCTTGCTTGGTTTCTTCAAAAAGGGCATCAATAAACTGCCACTGCGTTGACAAATATGCATCGATTGCATGTGATTACGTTAACTTATTTCATAAAAACGACAATTTCATAGGTAAAGACCTAATATAATTAATTAAATATGACGAAATTTACTTAAATGATAGACTAGTGATCATAAAGCGACCGGAACAGATAAAAGGAGGGGAAGAAATTAGAGGGTAAGGTAATGTTCCTTTACTTGTTTTTTAAAGGAGTCTATTGTTTAAGTATGTTTTATAGTTAGTGGTAAGGAGTTCCAAAGCTTAACTCCAAGAACTGAAAAAGATTTACTGTAAAACACTCCTCACTAGGAGTACAAGGGACATAGAAGGGAAAGGTTTTCTATGGACCGAAGGTTAAGGTTATAAGAGCAGAATAAAACTATTTTACGGATTTTATCGCGTTTAATTAACTTATTTTATATTCCCGACGTTTTGGTTGCTTTCCTGCAACCGTGGTCACAGGGGACTGAGGTGATTGACGTCCCGATGTCAGTGTTAAACCACTGAAGTTGTATGGGTTACCAAAAATACACAAACCGAATGCTCCATTACGTCCAATAGTGAGTCAGATCGATTGGCCAACTTACAAATTGGCTCAACACCTAGCAAAAGTACTATCACCACTCGGAGGACACACAAGAGCACACACAAAGGATTCATACCATTTTGTCAGTGAGATAAAAGACCTATGTCTTACTGACAATGAAACTATGGTCAGTTTTGATGTTCAATCTCTATTTACATGCCTACCTGTTGAAGACTGCATCTCAATTGTAACTAGGAAACTAGAGGAAAACAATATGCCAGCAGAATATGCAGTATTACACAGACATACAAGCAAGTAGATGGTGTTGCGATGGGCTCACCAGTATCTCCCATTGTCGCCGATAATTTCATGGAGGACTTTGAGGAGAAAGCCCTGCTTACTGCACCAGTAACTCCAAGTTTCTACAAGCGGTACGTAGACGATACTTTCACAATTTTACCATCAGACAAAGTAACTGCATTTTTAGAACATCTTAATTCCATAAACTCTAAAATTCAATTTACTATGGAGTTAGAGGCAAATAATTCTTTAGCTTTCCTAGATGTGTTAGTCATTAGAAATCCTGATAATACCATAGGTCACACTGTGTATAGGAAAAAGACCCATACAAACCGATATTTAAACGGTGAATCCCACCATCACCCTTCACAGTTAGCTACCGTGGGCAAATCTTTGTTACAGAGAGCACGAGGGATCTGTGACAGCAAACACCTGGCCGCCGAGCTTCAGCACGTCAAGCAGGTTCTGCACGACAACAAGCTTCGGGTGCCGTCACAGTGACCGAGTGAAGCCGGCCACAGTCGAGCGTGTGCCTGCTGTACTACCGTATGTCAGAGGTGTCACAGACAAGATTGGCTACATCTTAAAGCGAGCTTCTATTAGAACATTCTTCTAGCCGCCGAAGAAGATTAGTCAGTTCTTAGCATCCGTCAAGTGTAATATTCCTCTACAAGATGCAGGAGTGTACATGCTTGATTGTGAGTGTGGTCTCTCATATATAGGGCAAACAAAACGATCTATAAAAAGCCGCGTAAAAGAACACATAGCTGACGTGAAGCACCAACGTTCCGGGAAGTCTGCAGTTTGTGATCATATCCTAGACGGCCCCCGCCATTACATTAGATTTGATAAACCACAAATTCTCGCGAAAGAACATCGATTCCTGCCAAGGATGATACGTGAGGCTATTGAAATTAAAAAACATCCTAATTTCAATAGAGAGGGAAGCTGGGTACTACCACCTACTTGGGATCCAGTAATTCATAAAATTAAAACTAAACCCAAGCATGCCACTGCAAGACTTCAAGACACAGTTAGTGCATTCTGCGTAGATTGGACCAAAATTATTAGTTAAAAAAGCTGAAGGTACTCCGGTTTAACACTGACATCGGGACGTCAATCACGTCAGTCCCCCGTGACCACGGTTGCTAGAAAGCAACCGAAACGTCGGGAATATGAAATAAGTTAATTAAACGCGATAAAATCCGTAAAAATAGTTTTATTCAATGTGTAGTGTTCGCGTAAATATAAGAAATCGTTATAAGAGCAGCTTAGAAGTTGCAAACGCTCTTTGAAGTAGGGAGGATTTGATATATTAAATAAGACGCAGTGGAGAGCAGAAAGGATATGATTATTCCGACGAAGATGGATTGGAAGCCACTTGAGCTTAGCGCGGTATTCTGGTACATGGTCATATTTACGAATACCAAATATGAACCGTATACGTCTCGCTCAAGTTTATTAAAGTTGTTCTTTGGTAATAATCTAGATAAATAAATTATGTCAGCATAATCGACGATAGGGAGCAGTAAATATTGGGCAAGCATAATATTTGAAGATCCCCGCAGTGACTTGAAGATATATCTAGAGACCTTGTGGAACGCCAGCAATAGTGTCAAGCCATGAAGCATTCTGTCTTGTACCCGAACATGTTGTCGGCTTTCATGTAAATAACTACAAAACCAGGAAATTGCAGTTGGAGATGTGGTAAGAGAATGCAGTATACGAATTAGGATATCATGATTTACAGCAGGCATTGCTGAAATCCAGCAATAATATCACTGTGACTTGGCGGCTATCCATTCCAAAACTAATGCCGTCAGTGTTTTTAGGGTTCTGTACCCAAAGGGTAATCAACGGAACCCTATTACTAAGCCTTCGCTGTCCGTCCGTCCGTCTGTCTGTCAGCGGGCTGTATCTCATGGGCCGTAATGGGTAGACAGTTGAAATTTTCACAAAATGTGTATTTCTTAATAAAATATTAAATGGAGCACCCCTACTAGAAACATGTATTACGATGGCTTAAAATCCTTCATGCGCGAGTCCTACTCGCACTTGACCGGTTTTTAATTTAATTTCTTCATATTGTGACCAGCAAATTGTTAAGAGAAACAAAGAATAATATGCTTTTATATTTTATTTAAAGAATTGGCAAATCATTTTCATGGTATTTAGAGAAAAGCCAGGTATCAGAAGGTGTCCAAGTGGAAAATTAGCGAATGTAGTATCCATAGGCGTAGGGATAAGTGGCTGCGGCAGCGTAAGGTGAAGAGTAGGCCAGAGGTGAGTATGCCGAATATCCGAATGGTAGCACGGCTGGGGCTGCATACGTCAATGCTGGGTCAGGTTTGGGGTTGGCGAAGGCAACCGCCAGCATAGCGAACAGAGCAAACTGTAAAATAATATTTAAAAATTAACGTACGATTTAGCTTAAAGTTATTGTCCTTGATATCGGGAACAATAATCTAATATGAAAAAGTATACAATATTTTATTATATACAATATTAAAAAACTATAACAAAAAAAACTAAAACTAATAACTTAATTATCATACAGTCCTACTCGCCGTGGTATCGTGCCAAGAACGCTGGCTACGTTTCATCGCGGAATGGGTATTCTTGGCCTTTGAGCGAGAAAAGAACCAGCCCTCTTATCACTAGAAGCAACGACCCGTTGCGGGTAGAGTTCCTTTAAAAACTTCACCGCACGTGGACCCCATGGACCGATAGTCTCTTCAGCAAATGGCCCAAATATGTAGTCATCTCTATGAAATATATGTAAAAAAAAACTTTTGCTGTTTGTAAAAATATTCATTAAGCCACTTTTATGCAGTATATCACATGTATATAAATAACACAAATCATCCAGGCACTTAGACGAACAATTTATTTTTAGCACAAATGTTGATCCTAGATAAGTTTTGTACCTAGAATCTTTTTTTTATAGGATAGGGTGACAAACGTCACACAGTCCACCTGATGGTAAGTGGTTGCTGTGGCCCATAGACATCTACATCTATCCTCGATTACGAATTAAATGCCGATGCGTTGTCACCCGTGAGGACTAAGATGCAATGCCTCTTTTCCAGTAAATAGGGTCTCCGGTTCTCTACACTCACCATACGAAACACAGCAAGCTAAGCTAGCAGTTAAGCTGCTATTTTACGCTGGTATTCTGTGAGAGCGTGGTCCTTCCCCGGTCGAGCCGACCCATTCGTGCTACAACCATATTACTAATACAGCTGCAGCATGGCTCTACCACTTATATCTATGACTTATAGCTACGCCTTCTCCAACTATTTAGCTCAAACTCCAAATAATTATATGATGCAGTAGCAATGAGAATTTCCGAATTAGATAATCTTTAAGCGAAGTTAGCAAACACACACAGAAGCTAACTATTACCATCTCAGAAATGAGAGGAGGCCTGTGCCCAGCGGTGGTACTAGTATATACGCTGTAACTTTACTTTACTTTTTATATTATAATGATTATTATGTTTAATAAAGTAATCAGCGTTCTAACTAACTTACCAGTCTGAAGAACATCGTTTATGTCGTACTTGCAGTGATTGTCAAGTGATACATTTTAAATAAGGCTCCCGGCTTATATATTGTTTGGTGACGACCACGCCTCATACTGATCTTGTCGTAATATTATAAAAAGTGTCCTTGATCTTCAAAGTAACAAAATGCAAATGTACTACTTACTTAACAATTATGTAGTAATAAACATCCGCGTTATGTGGTTCACATTGCGACAGGTCCCTACTTTTTATGTGTTGATCTTATAGAGGTTAGTATTATTTAAACTATAGGTTCTTGCTATAGAAAAAAAATCGTATCTTCTAGAATTATTGTACGTGTTTATTTTTAACAATAACCTATAGTTTTACCTCAACCTTTAATAATGCAGGATGAAAGAATAAACGGCATTTATGTAAAAGATTCCATTATTTTTTTTTATATTGGTGAGGACCTGAACTATGCCTACATAGCTTTCATTGCGCTGTTGCTATTGCGCTCGCGTATCTAGATGGGAGCAAACCGTATCATGTATATCCGATCGGGTGGCCAAGCTACCAGACAAGAAGGATTCTATATTTTCATAATAAAAGTACAAATTATTAACATAAATATTTGTATTATATAGAACTTTGCTTATAGGATTCGTCAATAATTACTTTCCTTTTATTTTGTTAAGATTATATAAGAATAATTAAAGATACAGCAGACATATACATCAGACTTAGTAAAGTCACTATGCAGCTATATTATTATGGCTGTAACACAAATGGGTTGACTCAACCGGTTAAGGATCATGTACTCACAAAATACCAGTATTGATACCGAGTGATGCGAGCTAAGATCGTTTTTACTGGTTTAGGTATTCCACTTTATCACTCAAAGGTGACACCAATTCTGTATTTTATAAGCTTTTATTTCACTTGCAATGCTTGTATGTTTGTTAGGGTCAAATCTTGCAACTGAATTTTAAAGCAGTTATCCTCAACCGATTGAGCTGTTTTGCACAGATTTTTAGTTTGATTGATAATGTATGGTTAGCTTAGTAATAAAAACATAGTCAGCCCAAGATAGCGGACATTTTTTTTTCTATACATCCCCATGATATGGATATTAAATGAAAGGGTTTTCTAAGAATAATATGAATAAAAATGTAGTCTGCGTCAGCTCTTTGAGTAGATGGTATACTACTGCCCTGCTAAACGGTAAGACTTAGCGGGGTCTGTCTCAACCATAGTTTTAGTATGTATCTTTGGTCTTAACCATAGATTTAGTATATACTTAAGCTAGATTGGCAATGTAAAAGAGAAAGGTCATACACGTACATGGTATAGGTCTATATCGGGCTAACGTCAATTGTTAACGAAACAAATCCCCCTTATTTTCGCGATATTTTTGATTTTGAAGTATTAATAAATGTTTAAAAGGTGTGATTAAATATGGTGACGTGTGCAATATCTGAATGCAGTTCATCGAGAAAAGAAAATACACAAAATTATACCTTTCACACTTAAGTACAAATCAAATGCACTCTAAATGGAATATTTTAGAACTGGTACAAATGTATTATACACAAATGGATAGGAAAAATATAGCATTTCATAACGATAATGCTCTAAATGTGTAATAATTATATTGAAAATAATAACAAATACGTGAATTCCCGCTATTTTTGATCCATTTCTAAAGACTGACCACAGACTAACTAGTAGATTCTACCCAAATCAGACGGACATCTCACGAACTAAACTTACTCGACTTAGCTTCTGCATCCTGATTGGTTGTAGCAAAATGATACATGACATTTCTTTTTTTTTTGAAGCAGCTATACCAGGCAAAGAATGTCCCAAAAAAGTCACTGGCGAAATTAATTTTATTATATTGAAAATAAAACGAGGTAAATACAGTTGAAACAATGTTGAAATTTAATATTATATTTATTTTTACTTTACAATAATTTTCTGGCAGCAAGCTTTGTTGAAAGTACACAATTAAAAATATATAAGGATTTATGAAATAGTGGCAAGTCGGGTTATGATCCCTAAAATTGTACCTTATTTGACCGAAAACGTTTTGTATTGCATCGGAATTTATATAGCTGGTTAATTTTAATTATAATTTTTATATTTTTCTTGGACAAAACTGCCACAATTTCATAAAACTTTTATATGGTATCCATTCAGTTCTTTATACTGGGCACTGTACACTCATGACAATTTTTATTAATAAATTTTTAATTGTGTAGTTTCAACAAAGCTTGCTGCCAGAATTCTTAAATCATTCCCTCTTCTTTTATTATTTATCACCGCACTTCCATTCACACTGTCAAGTAGGTCCTCCGTGAAAGATACTATTTCTGCAGTATTTTTCTGTCTTGCCGCGCATCCAAATAATGAGCTGCACCTAATAAATATTTTTGAAATATTATTAAATGAAATATCATTAAGTACTCTATACAGTATTTTGAAGTTACAGAAGAAGATTGTGTTTTTGTAGAATTAAGCACGACAAGCATGCACATATTTCACCTGATAGTAAGTGAATGATGTGGCCAACAGACACCTACATTAATCATTTACTGTGTAAGGTTCTCTGGTTTTCACCACTAGCGATGTAAAACACTACAGTTTTATGGTGCTATGTATAATTATATTTAATAAAATAATTATTTTAATAACTTACAAAAAACAAAAATATAATTTAAGACTTCTGCCACGGTTTTATTAAATACACGGACATAATTCTTAACCTGAAAATAATTCATAAGAATTTGATTAGGAAAAGGTGTGTTACATGTACAAAAATTAAATTACATGTAATTGAAATAAAATTACAATTGTTTTATACCATAATTTTTCCAGGAATAACATGTTCGTCGTTAAGTTTGTGTAATAACCGTGTTTCTGCATGTTCAGTCTCTCATCATATAGAAATATTTTCTTGGTATTGTATATTTTTTGTTAAAAAAAATGGTTCGCATTTCTTTGATTAAATGTAGTGGATCAAATATCACAAGCATATAAAACCAGTTATATGTATCAGGTCATCTAAAAATATAAAACATATTAATAACTGCATGTTCTAATGCAATTCTATTAAAATAAATATGGCGGTAAAGTTTTGATTAATTGTACCTGGGTTTTTATTTTCTATTATTTGAACTGTTTTAGTTTCCTCGTGCAATAGTTTAAGAGCAGATCTGAATGTAGCCCCCTGATCTGCGACTGATGTTAGTGGAATAAGTCCTGTCTCACCAACAGCCGCAACAATTTCTTTTAAAATATTTTTCACTTCAATAATAGATGTTGATCCTTCACTATAGTAAAAAACAATCGGTTGATACAACTAACTGCAAAGAAAAATGCAAAGATAGGGCGGAAATAAATCAACGCAACCCAACGGAAATTTGTCACTAAATCAGTAATATCACTTAGTGATACAATGAATGAATCAGTGAAAAACAAAATGAAAACAAAAAATATGGCTGCGACGGCTTGAATTGGGGCTTAGAAGGGAAGTCGAGAGGCGAGAGGGATGTTAGCTGTCATGAGTAATTTTGCTATGACGTTTCCTATGTCCAATATTTTCTCTATGAAGATTACTGCCCGTGAAATTGATAATCAATATCATTTTATCGATAATATTTTCATAATAGGCAAAGGTATATCTTTGGATGCGACCTCTTGTAACTTCGTAATTTTTTTAATTTCCTACTTTTAATATTTAGGGTTTCGTATCTAAATGGCATTATAGTAAATACTTTAATAAGATAATTTAAACTCTTATAATGTTTCAAAATTCTAAAAAATATTAACGTCAAACAACAATGGTTAAAAATGATAAAAAGAGAAGACTAGGTATCCAAAAAATATTCAACTATATGTAGCAAGCATTTTGAACAAAAATGTTTCTCATAAAATAGCACAAAAAGAAAAACTGTGTATTGATTTTTTTTATAGGATATAGTGACAAACGAGCACACAGTCCACCTGATGGTAAGTAGTTGCTGTGGCCCATACACATTCACATCTATCCTCGTGTGCGAATCAAAATGCAGATGCATTGTCACCCGTGAGGGCTAAGATGGAATGCCTCATTTCCAGTAAAAAGGGTCTGGGTTCAATACCATATTATGTGTACTTGTGCGTAGTTTCTTAATTATTTATTTTACTGTACATACGTTCATTTCATTTGCGCATGTTCAAACGTGTACAACTTGTTGTCGTAATCCTTGTGATGTATGTTTTTTTATGAAACGAAAGTAGCAAAGGAACTTACAGTATCACTTGCTGGTAGCCGTAGCTGTTTACTGCAGTACATGGTAACCTACAGTCAGCTTTAAACAATACGTGTAGAGAAATCTTATACGTGGTAGGGCCATATAGTTATAGCACGAATGGGTCGGCTTGACCGGGGAAGGACCACGCTCTCTCAGAATACCAGCGTAAAATAACAGTTTAACTCTGCTGTGTTTCGTATGGTGAGTGTAGAGAACCGGAGAACGTTTTTACAGAAAACGAGGCATTTTACCGTAGTCCTCACGGGGACAACGCATCTGCATTTTTGATCGTAATCGAGGATGGATGTAGATGTCTGGCCACAGCTACCACTTACCATCAGGTGGACTGTGTGCTCGTTTGTCACCCTTACCTTATATAAAAAAGCAAAGAAAGCTACTAATGTGTTTTCACTCCTGAGGACTAAGATAAAATGCCGTACAGGTTATAATAATTATAAAGGCTCTTTATATACAACAGGCCGAAGCGCGGCTGTTTAAGCACTGCTGTTAAGTGGCAGAAATAGGTAAATGGATGGTACCTTATTTTAGGTTTAAGTTTTAAAGATATTTATTACTCATTAAGATAAATGCATATCACTTACATGAGTACATAGCTGAAAGTAAATTTCACAGTCGTTCACCAAATTAAATTCACCAAAAATACACACACTTCACCCGCGCAACGCATTCACAATTATTTAAGTCAGTCATTTGCAACAAGATATTCATACAATTTTTTCTTGAATGTGCTGAACGGGCTAACAT